TAAGTCACGGTCCAAACTGAAAGGGGTGATTCTTTGGATTATTTTATGACTAAAACTTCAAATAAACATAGGTCTGCAAACGCTTCGTTACCGATCTACAGGGTGATGAAATTTTAATGTATTCATATTGAAAATGAGCAAGAATATGGCGGCAAGGGCGTAGCTTACTTCTAGATTCCTACTGAAAATGATCAAGAATACGGCAGCGGGACCTCTATTGTCGCCACTGTAGGTAGAAAAGGTATATTGAGTCACTGTAGTTTCATCTAGCTAATTACAAAGATTTGTTTTTTAATTTTTTTCTCGATAAGGGTCGGTAATTGGAAAAAACTACAGGAGAACAAAAAGTTTCTAAATAAGGTAGAAAAATCATTAAGTTCTTTAGGATCTACCAGCGGCGCACCGCAAAAAAGTTCAGGGGCAGAAAAGGGCATATGACCCCTGGAAAAACATCACCCTGTGAATTCTGGCAAACGTTTGAAATGTGCAATCATGTAACTCCTATTGCGTCACCTATATTCCAAATTTCAGCTAAAATTGCAGGAGCTATAAAGAAAAAACCAAAAAAAATATTGATATTTCAACACCCTGTAGATCGGTAACGAAGCGGTTGCGGACATATGTTTATTAAAAATTTTAGTCATTAAATAAACCAAAAGATCACCTCGTTCAGTTTGGACCGTGACTTATGGGACACCCTGTATATATTACAATCCGAGACGGAAAATGCTTTATTGCTAGTCTAGAGGTTATCTAGTTTATCGAGACGAGTAGCGTCGAGATTAACTAAACCTCGAGACAACAATGAAGTTTTCCGAAGAGGTTTGTATACAAATCTATTTTCAACCCTTAATTTCTGAGGCAAAAATTGAAAATTTCATTATACAAAATCCTTCATACCTTGTCAAAGAACTTTGACAGTGTGAAATTCCTTAGAAAAAATCAGCTTTCACTTTCTTCTTTGTCAGTTTCATGAATTTCATGAATTTCAAAGACCAAAAAACAAATTTGAAAATTGAAAAGTGAGCAGGGAAATGGGGACGCAAATGCATATGCCTGCCTGGGCAGGCATATTCCCGATAAAATGTCAAAGTACAGAAATGTGAAGCGTTCCAGATTTTAAAAAGCCTGTAATGTCAACATTACATATGCGGTTGAAAATAAACCAATATTTCTGCCCGCGTGTAAAAAACTCTTGTAGCGAAAGACTCGCGTTCTATTGTACAAAATCAATTTTTATGCAAATTCCACGTTTCTCAAAAAAGTACAAGTAACAACATCGTCCAAGAATGGTCATAGTCTGTCATAGTTAAGTAGGAATACATTGTCATGTCTTTAATAAAGATGAAATTTACAGATGTATCACGTCCAGTTAAATTAATTTTTGGTAAGGGAAAAATCGTATTCATGAGCTTTGTGAACAATCTTTATTACCAATAAGTTTAGATTATTAGCCCTATTCTAAACTTATTGGTAATAAAGATTGTCCACAAAGCTTGTGAATACGATTTTTTTCCCTTTTAATAAAGATTAAACTGAGAAATAAAGATTGTTCGGTGTTAAAAAGGATTCAGTAAGTGTAAAAAATTAAATCTTTATTCATATTCTGTTTTTTAATTGAGTAAATCGTAATATATTATCTATGTCTTGAATCTTCAGTTTCAAATTAAATTTTCACCGCAAAATCAACTGTTTGCTAGCCTAAAAGAAGACGAGCCTAATAATACAGGGACCATACAGGATGATGTTCAACAAATTAGAGACAAGCTGAAATTTGGAGACTGTATTTTAAGGTACTAAATACCCTCTGAAATCCCAGCGTTGAGGCGTTGAGCCCGTCACCCTAAAACCACCCCTTAAGTCGGGTGAAATCTACCTTTTTTATATTTTCCATAATAACTCCAAAACTAAGCATTTTAGGAAAAAATGTCGAGAGAGAAAAATAATTGTAGATATGAAAATTTCCTACCAAATACCTATACAAGCATTTTTTTTCAGATGTTCAGTGGCCTAGATAGAAAGTATTTAATCGAGAGGATTTTTCTAAAAACCCCAAGAATATATCCATAAAGTGTTATTGTAGTTTTGGGGGTAAACTGTTAGACACATTATAATGAGATCTTGATTAATGCAAACCGTATTTTGATATTTTCAACAGTTTAGTCGCATCCAGAGTCGGCGCGTGCCTTCAAAAAGTGGAGGGGCTAGAAAAGACCACCGGAGGCGAAAATTTTTTCCGGGTGCCACGCCCAAAAACGATTATTTTGAGCTTTCAAAACAAATTTTCTGTACTACCCACATTTTATTTGACATAGAAAGTTTTTGGATTACTTATTTTCCTTTTCCTCAATCGCCAATTATTTGTAAGGGCCAAATTATGGACTGACTGGTAAACGTCTGGTTGTTACCTAGCAGGTACATTCTATACACTAGAGAATAGAAAGTACCTGCTAGGTAACAATCAGACACTTATCAGTTGGTCCATAATAGAATAACAAACAGCCTTTTCAAGGAACAACGGACAAGAAATACGTCATTTTTATATTAAGAAACACAAGTCGACGTTTATTTTTTGCCGGCGACTCTGTGGAATTTAGGAATTTTTGTTGATCTGTATTTTTTTTGAAATTATGAGAAAAAAATTTCATACATTATAAAAAAGTGGGGGGCTCGAGCCCCCCCGTGCCGCCACTGGTCGCATCCTTTATAACTTTTTTGTTTATGGAAATAATTGATTTTTGTAAAAACTGTGTAGAAGCACTTTTTGACATAGAATTCAGTGACGTCCCAGTTTTTTTTCCATTTTTCCCCGATTTCGAGATATTGATCAAAGTTCGATTTTTTCAATAAGACACCCTATGCATACAGGGTGGAATTTTTAAATGGAATAAATTCAGTATCAGAAAGCCTGTTTATTTTCGGCCTTTTCATGGAATTTACCCCTTTCTTAAGGGTAGAAACCACACCCAACTTTTTTTTTTTAAATGTAAAGATATGTATTAGTGATAGCTCGTTGGAATGGGCATAAAAAAAAGATGACCCATTATTTACTTTTGCATTTCGGTGATCTAGAAAGCGAGAAAAAAATAAAAACAAATTTTTCCACGCAACTTTTTTGCAGTTAAAATTGTTGAATATCTTCAGCATTTCTTCTTGGTAGAACTCTAATGCGAAACAAGCCCCATTTGTAACGTTATGTAATTATTTCTGACGTTGACACACTATTTGATGCCTGATACTCGGATTCTCAACCCTGAAATAGTGTGTTAATGTCAAAAATAATTACATAACTAGATCACCGAAATGCAAAAGTAAATAATGGATCATATAACTTTTTTTATGCCCATTCCAACGAGCTATCACAATACATATCTTTAAATTTGAAAAAAAAAGTTTGGGGTGGTGTCTACCCCTAAGAGAGGGGTAAATTCCATTACAAGGCCGAAAAAATGTGCCAAACTAAAAATAAAGGGACCCGTTTTTTTTTTTTCCCAGAAAATAAACAGGTTCTCTAATACTGAATTTATTCCATTTAAAAATTCCCCCTGTATATCAATAGCTCATTAGAAAGCTCTGCTTTTGCTGATTTCCATGATACAAATTTCGATAGTTTTATCTCTAACAGTTTTCGAGAAAAATATCGGGTCTTCAAAAAAAAAACCAATCAAAGATTGCTATGGTTTTTAAAACGTATGTCTTAGCAATATTTTTCTTTAATTTTATCAATGAACTTTATTGTCAAAATGTCCTGTCAAAAATCCTGACCAATGAAAAAACAATAATGCGACATACGTTTTCGTATTCAAAGCAATCTTTGATTGGTTTTTTTTTTGAAGACCCGATATTATTTCGTTTTTTTTTTATCATAAAAAACAATGTGTTAGAAAAGGACTTTATCTTTAAGGAAACTGAGAAAGTTCTCTTTCTAACACATTGTTTCTTATGAGAAAAACCAAAATATTTCTTTTTTCCGAAAACTGTTAGGGGCAGAATTTTCAAACTATGTACCGTAGCGGGAAAATGTCAACTTTTTTGCGATATTGCAGAAAAGTTTCTCAATAGCAAGTCACACACCTACAAGCCCATTTTAGGGTTAAAAATAAATAGGTGGGGTTTTTAGAAAAATCTCTTTAATTAAATACCTAATATCTACGCCATTGAATATCTGAAAAAAACAGATGTAGGTATATCTATTTGGTAGGAAATTTTCTTCACTACAATTTTTCTTTCCTGGCATTTTTTCCTAAAATGCTTAATTTTGGAGTTATGAATAAAAATGTAAAAAAAGGTAGATTTCAACCCACTTAAGGGGTAGTTTTGGGGTGACGGGCTCAATGCTTCGGCGCTAAGGTTTCAGAGGGTATATTGCACCCTAAAACAAAGTCTCTTATCAAATTTCAACTTGTATTTAATTTGTTGAACGTTACCCATATAAAACGATGGATAGGCCCTGTACTATAAAGTCTGTTCATAAAGTCTAGACTGAAGAGAAATGCTTGATCGAAGATGGTCGACACTAGTTGGCTAGATTTTGATGCCTCATTAGGGCCTTGGGTTAATCGTTTAAATTCAGCGCTGGTCGCGCGAGTGGATCCCCTAATTTTGGCCAATTAGCGCTCAAAATCTCAGATCACGCAGTTGATTTAGTCTGTAGACTTTATGAACGGATACTATAACCTAGAATGCGAGGAGTGCCTGACTCAAGAAAAGAAAACACACGTCAATAAGTAAACCGTGATGCGCAAATAGCTCAACCTTATTCGAGACCTTTTCCTTTAACCAAGTATTATACTTTGGATGTTGTGCACGAAAAAAAAGTAAGCGAACGGAATCGAACCATTTTTCTCACCCCCTTTTGTTTTGGGAAAAAAATTAAGATTTCGAATCACGCCTATGCTACCTTGCTAATTTTTATTTTTTAACATCAAAATAACATCAGCCAATAGATCGGCCGATCTGTATCAGCAAGAAACAGTCTTGGATAGCGTAAAAAGACTTACATGAATCTGTATCCTGTGCATGCGCCGATGGCATGGACAAGTGGATGCTCTTTAATCTCTCCCTTTTTTCATCGCTGGTCCTGTTCTTATTCGCTACCTTCCCTCGTTTGACCGCCTCGAAAATCGTACTGTTGACTTTCGTAGTCGCAAAATTCGTCACACTTTCCTTTGTAATGTCACCACTATCACTTTGATTAATTATAATGCTCAAATTACGCGCATAGAACTCGGTTTTAGTGGTAGTTCTGGTTGCGCCAGTTTGGTTGTCCACATTGATGACATCGTTGCGGTGATGGTTGTCCTTGACTGATTTAGGAACTACGTGGGAATACACATGGGGTTTAGAACTATAAGAAATTACGCTAGTATCACTTTTCCTTAACACTAAACTGGAAGAGGTTATTAATTTGGAATTGTTAGGGTTGTATGATGGGGCGGTGCTGGTGCCCCTGCCCAACGCTGTCAAAAAGGCGATGACGTAGAGCAATGTGGAGGCCAGTGGGTAAGCCTTGAGGGCTGTGGTCGATATTTTGACCAGCAACCCGTCATATAAAGATACCACCGTGAACTTCTATTGAGTAAGTTTCTCTATGATGATATGTATTTAATTTTTTTAAATAATTATTATGATCCTATCATGCTGTACAAATAAATGTGGTTAAATATTTTTAATGCGATTAATATTTGCTTAAGCGTATAAATTATGGAATTATTAGAAATATTTATAACGATTGGAGTTTTTTGCTTAGTCTTTAGCAGGTAATGGGGGAACGTATTATTTATGTCAGGCACCGCGCACGCGTGGGGTCCCAGTTGAATACGGAATCTCTTCGAAAAATGACGATAAACCGAACACTGCATATTTTGGCCGAGCCTTCCGTGCTCGATGGTACCATCTTAAGTTTGCTCGGTGTGGAAAGTTGAATTAGATTTGAGGCGAATCAGTTGTTGTGCTTGAGCTTTTGCAGTACCTGAAAAAAAAAAAAAACATCTTTTTAATTATACAAGATAGAGGTGGACACTTTGAGTTTCACATTTTCTAAACATCAAAAATAACCCAAATATAGCTGGATCCAAACCAACAGCATTATTCTGCCTCTAGACTAAGCTGAAATTCATCCAAGTAAATGGTCCAACTCTTAGCTAGATTTATCAAATATCCCTATTTTAAGTTCTATTATTTTGCTTTAATTTCATTTTGAAACAAATCCGTTGCACCCAGTATTGAAAAACGAAATAGTATATTATATACCTAGGTAGAGAAGTTGGTCATTATATACCGAAAGCTTTTATAAACCGAGGCGCGCAGCGCCGAGGTTTATAATGCTTGAGGTATATAATGACTTTCTCTACCGAGGAATATATAGAATTTTTTTTATTTTTTGTGAACGCCCTCTTGAAAGTGCTGCTCTCTATTAACAGCTTATATAACTTCCTATGTACCTACAGAAACCTGTATTTTTTTTCAAATTGACGTATGAAATTGAAATTGAACCAATAGAAACATGACAATATCCTTGCGTCATGACGTCACTTTCATTATTGACCTAGGTATTTTTTCATTATTTTCATTATTAACCTAGGGAGAGAAATTCAATTTTTTCTTAGAAAAATAGATTGAATAATGTCTATTTCTCAGGTTAGTGGTAAAAAAAATACATTATTTTTGATACAGATAAAAATGCAAAAAACCTTAAATTTTCGGCACTTCTTTCAGGTTTTCAACTATAACTAGAAAAATAAGCGTTTTCTAATTATAATTATAATATACCAAATTGACCTTTTGTTTGGACGCCATATTACGGTGCGCGAACATAGTTGCCAAAAGAAGAAAACAAAAATTACTAGCGGGCTGTCAACATTAAAAACAAAAGTAACTAAATGATTGATAGTGGTATGGGTTAAGATGGTAATATGATGGCTTTTCTTTTCAAAAACATTCGTAATAGGCGGCAAATTTAAATTTTAAATGTAATTTATTCAGTAACTTTTGTTTTTAATGTTGACAGTACGCTAGTAATTTTTTTTCTTCTACTGTTGGCAACTATGTTCGCGCACCGCAATATGGCGTCCAAACAAAAGGTCAATTAAAGTAGACAAAATTTCCTACGAGTACGTATAGTAACTCTAAAGTCCCGGCAATCCATTATGTCGTGCGAACGTGTTGAAAAAATGGCGTTTCTTGACTTCCCTCTAAGAAAGTTGAAAACGTTATTCTAATAGACCTATCTCGCGTGATTAGAAAAAGAGAGCTTAATTATAATAAATACAAGTTAAAAAGCAATGAAAGATGATATGCGCGCGCAACTCGTAGGCTGCAGTGTAGCCAGATTGTATTGTTGTAGAACAAATGTAGACAATACAAATCGAAAATTATAACATTGAAGAAGTGATATAGTGTCAAGTGTTTTACAACGCCTTAAATCAGACAAAAGAGGAGCTTTAAACTGGATGAACGTCGTTTGCACTTTTATTTTGATAAATGTTTCATCCGGCAACATTGCACAATAAAAGTCCAAAGGAATATGTCAAGTATAATCTGACATAATTTTAAACAACACTGCGGTGAGTTCAGAAGTAATACGTAAAGTATTAGTTTGCTCTTTGTCGAATTACACGTTACAACTAAAGAAGGAACGATTTATTCTGAAATGGCCCCTGAATAAGAATATGACGCAAGCCTGTTACAAACTTGCTTCTCATTGGACGCTCACCTGCAGCCTACAAGCGACGCGCGCAGTTCAGGTAATAGGAGATCGATCTATTAAGGTTTTGATAAAATGGAACATTATTTGTAACAAATTGATATTTACACGAAGAAAAACAAAAGCACCGTTCACATTCATTATTGACAAAGCTTGTCAATACCTGCATAAAGATCAGAATTGCGTTCGCAAATGTTGTATATGCGGAGCGACATTTTCTTTCTAGTCCTGTCTGGGCATTGAACTGCTCTCATTCTTCAAGGATGAGCGCTGGTCCCCCTACTGAAAAATAGTAGTTTTCCTAATCAGTGCGCAAAGTTATGTTCTCTCATGCGAAAGCAGTTAGGAACAAGCTTTTTATCGTTACAGCTCGTGTTCCTCTTTCGGCACACCAATTTAGAGCCCGATTGGAATTTCGACCCGACGTTTCGAAATTTTAGGAAAAAAATTCCCTCTAACTTGTAATGCGCCAAAATTGCCTTTAATTATTTCACGCTTATTTTTAGTTTTCCATTCAAAACACTCTCTATTATTTAAATTCTATTTTCACTTGTGACTAGTTCTTGCGACGACTAATGATCTTCCTCGATTTTAATCAATATTTCAATTCCATTTTCAAATCAAATATTTCTTATTCTAGGTTTTTTGAATACTGGTCCGCTCTCAAAGTGTGTACTGACCGCTACTCGTACTCTGTTCGGTTGCTGAACTCAGTACCAAATTTAGTTCCGGAATCCGGTTCCATAAACCACCGAGTTGCTCTCTATTTTATAGTGACACTTGAGTCATGTTACTCTTGAACCAGCAAGTATTTAATATCCTTTGGAATTAATTGGTAATTATCTAAACCTTTGTTAGCAGAATTTATTAGATATATTTTATACTTATTTAAACGTCGCATCTTTATCAACATGTTAGGACTAGAATCTTCACTAAGGACTTCGAAATATGCATTCTTCATTCTTCTGACTTTGGGTCTTTTTTTGCTTTTTTTGTTGTTATTTTGGAATTCGTTCGTTCCTTTAACGTAGTTGAATTATTTAAATATAAGGGAATTATTGAAATTTGGCCGCAGTTGACTGTGCCGTTTTAGTGCCGACCCAAAATTAACTGTGGCGGGCGCTAGTTTGGCTCACAAAAGGAATTATAGAACGACACGTTGAAGTCGACAGTGGTGAACTTTGGCAATGGCATGCGCATGTCATGTTTTATTTTCATATTCCTAACCTAAAATTGCAAAGTGTAAATACCAATGTATATACAAATATTGTTTCTGTGTGTTTGGTGTTCATCTAGTGGTTCTTCTTGTAGTTTTCTGTTGAATTTGCTTTGTTATTTCATCTATATTTTAAAATGGAGTCTATTGGGAGGCGTATTATTAGGGGACGGGGATGGAGATGATGACATACAATCAACAGAACAGGCAAATCGGCAAAAAACCTATAAAAACACAACACCAAACACCGCTAAGAAGCCACTAACCTGTCACTGGAAATGGAAATTGAAGAAATAGGTTTGGTCGGACTTCGTTCAGAATCAGTTCTGAATTGAACTGCACTTGCGCATTGGTTCATATCGAACATGTAAACCCAATGTGAAAGCACGGTTCAATTCAGAACCGATCCTGAACTAAAACTGAACAAACCTATATAAATGTAAATTAATAAAAAAGTGAAATCAACATTTTGCATAAGCCTTGACCTCGGCCTTGACGGACGTCAACTTAAAAAAAAAAGAAGAGGCATAGGGACGAGACTGTGCCTGTTTGTGGCCTGTTTTTATTTTCCACAAATAGTGACAGGCACAAACTTTATTAGTGGCGGCACTAAAAATAAACAGTACTGCCACAACGCGCACGTCTTAAAAACGTCAAAATATCGCCTAGCGCTATTAGTGCCTGGCATTTTATACTCAATAGTAATATAACAAGTGCAATGGAAATTATTGATAATTTTTGGGAAATTTGCCTGAATGCATTTTTAGTTGGAAAAGAGCACGAGTGCACGTAGTGCACGAGTGCCTTTTTCAGTTAAAAACGCATGAGTGCAAATTTGTCGAAAATTATAAATATATTTCCATTGCACGAGTTGTATTTAATGAGAGAATTTCATAAATCAAAAATTTAAATTTTTTGTCAAAAAATGTCAAAACACCAGTTTTCGCACCAGTTACTATGCAATTATCTGATAATTTGCATTAGTGCAAATTATCGCGTAATTACAATCTGATTGGTTCAAATCAACAATCAAAACATGTCAGTTTATTGTTGGAAAACCAGTTTTGACCGATGTATGAAATTCTCTTCAATAATTCCCTATTTACTTATATGAAATAACATGAATTATTGCTCCATGATTGAATCTTTTACCAGATGCTGCGTTGCCAGACCTAAAGACTTATTTTATTTTTTCCTTATTTTCTTAAATCTTTGTTTTGGGACACTTTAATGACCCCCTAATGCAAATTTATCCGGGTGTTTTACTGACCTCGAAAATATTATTACTTTTTCTTCACCTAAGTTTGATTTTTTGATATTTGGGGGAAATTTTAATGTTCACCTCTTAAGGAAAACCATACTGGTGCCCTATAAGTGATTATTTTTTAAAATTGATATGGATTAAGACAGCTGGTTGCCCAGACCACACAGGATAATTCCTCCTCATTGCTGGATTTGCTCGTCTCTTCTCGAGATGGGTTGGCTGGTGAAGTAGCACCTACATAACAAAATTGCATCCTTAGAATGTAATGGCAATGTTCTTTTTTAGGAGGAATGTGCCTAGAATGTTCGCCAAAACGATTGCGAATGTTCTAAGAATGTTCGGAGAAAAGATTGTAGAAATACTGTCTGCAATACCCAAGAACTTCCTGGAAAATCTATTAGGATATTCCTAGAAGATACCTATGAGATTCTCAGTACATCCTGAAAAGAACATTCCTGTTTGATTCTAAAAATATGCTTGAAATGTATATTCTCACATTCAAAGAATGTTTCTATAACATTATAGTTATGTTCTCAAAAAAATATTTTACCAATATGCTTAAAATATTCTTAGAATAATTCTACATATATCATACTGAATATGTATCCTAGACATAACACTTTTGTTTGATTCTAGGGATATACTTGGAATGTTAATTTTGGCATCCAAATAATGCTCCTTTCAGTCCTTTTATATTAAAGGCAGTGAAAGAGTGTTGGAAAACTTCTCCGGTAAACACAAGTTCTAACCAAAGCTCCAGTTTCGAGCTTCTTATGCTCTCGTCGCGGTGAGCACGCTAACTGAGAGAAACAGGTTCCCAGGAGATTCAATCGCTAGGCAAGATGTATATCTTAGCACAAGTAGGTTCTTAGCACAATCTTTCAGGTAGGTGCATATAGAAGCAACATTCCTAGTACATAAATAGAACGTCCAAAAATGAATATTTCAATCGAAACAATCTTAGAATATTCATTAAACATTCCTAAAAGAACATTCCAAAAAGCACTTTGAGGAAATATTCCGAGAATATGAATGTTCTTTCACTGTTATGTGGGCACTAACCCCAATGGATGATATTTCCGACCATTGCTGGGTGCAATGTAAATTGAAAATTCCAAAGAGCAAACCACCAATATCTTTCAAAACTTATGGAGATTATTCTCACTTTGATAATGACGCTTTGGTTGCGGACTTGTTGCAGCTAAATTGGAGCAGTTTTTATACGAGTTATTCTATTGATGCAAAAATTGACTTATTTAACAAAATGGTGAACGAGTTGTTCGATTTGCATGCACCTATCAATAATGTGCTAGAGTCACCAAATCACCTTCCTCATGGATGACGCAACAAAGCGCGTACCAAGTTTAATAAATATAAAACAGATATACTGTGGGAAGAATACAAAAGCTATCTACATGATAGGAGGCAGAGAGTTGTGATAGGGGGAAACCAACCTGAATATGCAACAGTCCCCAGAGGAGTTTCGCAGGGTAGCATACTTGGTCCCTTGCTGTTTTCCATATACATCTCTGATTTTCCAGCGTTTTTGCAATATTGCACCGTGCATCAATATGCCGATGACACGCAAATGTATTATTCCTTCTTAGCATCAGACGTTAGGATAGCTGAAGAACGTTTGAATAGTGATTTAAATACCATGGCCACTCTTTCGCGGTCGCATGGACTGATTTTGAACGGGACAAAATCCCAGTGTATGATTTTCGGTAAAAACCGCAATTCCATGTGTCATAACAGTAACTTTGTTGATAAAATCGATGATCAGCGGCTGATATCTGTGAACTCTTGTAGGAATTTGGGCGTTGTCTTGGATGTCCATTTGCGGTGTGAACCTCATGTAGCCACTCTGCTACAAAAGGTATATATTAAACTGCGCACCTTATATCTACATCGAGACTATTTATCAATAGATAGCAACACGAATTGCTTATTCAATGTCGTATTCTTCAAATTATGATTGGATTGTCAGCTGTTGTCATTTTCTCTCATTATATTTTTGTGTGCAATTTTTGGTACTTTAAAATTTTCCTCGGTTTATTTTTGACATTTGTCGTTACTTTGCCTCATCTCTATTCTTCAAATCTAGGACAGCTAATTAATTACTTGTGGCGAATCTTCCTTTTACGATTTGGTTGTTCCGAGAAAAGGGTCTCTCTTGAAGGATCTAATTTTTGTCTTCGCCCTAAAGGGGATTTTGGACCTAATTTTCTCAGTTATTGAATTTTTGGTACATTGAGTTGCCTTACGTTGCGTTACGTTTTCGTAAAGTGCCATTATTTCGCCGATGATTTCGGATTTTTGAAAACCATTTCGGTAAGTTTTGCTTCATACGTTTTTCACCACCAGCGATTCTGACTTTCTCTATTTGATCATTAGTGAAAAGCTGCCCTAGAAACCAGACCAGACCAGGTATGCCCGCCGTTAGCGGAAATTCTTTTTGAGGTGACACTCCCAAAAGTCTTTAGAACCACACATCTTAATGGCGTATTCGCGTGCTTCTCCCAATACTTTTATGGGACAAAAAATGTATTTTTACAGAAAAATAAGGTGCCATGGTTCCGTAATACTAATAGTAGCCTCGGAGCCACCTTTGAAAAAATCTCTGGGCTGCTCATTAAAACGATAAGAGGTGGATCAAGATTTGTTTTCCTGGGAAATCGACTTTCAAGGAACAAGTACCTAGGTAACGTAACACAAAATCAAATCAAGATTAAATTCAAAGTTCAAGGATGTTTAATACATAGGTATCTAAAATTACTAAAAAAATTCACACTGGAATAACTACAATGTGCTACAATATAAATAATGGTATATACAGGGTGTTCCTAAATAACATGGGCAGTGGCCACCGGCTAAATTGGCTGAAATTTTAGTATGTTATAGAGGATGTCTTGCTGAACAATGTTTAAATGGAACAAATTTTTCTATGGGCCATAGTAAGGCCACAAATCGCAATTGAAGTTTAGAAATCCGCAAAAATAGGCATTGTTCATTTGGACCTTTTACCTGAATTAACTTGATTTAACTTATCAACACTAAAATATGCATTTATTTATTTTACCTCATTATCGTTACGACGAGGAGCATCAAGTACTGTTGTAAATAGTTGTACTGGACGATAGTGAAATTCTTCCTCATGTCTAGCGAATCCCAGATACCACAGAATCGATACTATGTGAGCACATACTCCCAATGTTTTAGCACCGACCTTACATATGCAGTAAGTGCAGAGGATAGGGTCTCTGTTTTGTTCATTTATTTCTGCATTGAACAAAATAAGTGAAGTATTCTGTTGTGCCTGAACATGTCGCGAATTTATTCGTATTCTTATCAAGTTTGGTTCAATTATATGAACCTCAAATCCTGCATTTCCTCTAGCATTTTTATCCTGAATATATCCGAATGATGCCAACTTGACCTGGTATGTCCCAAAACATTTGGATACTTTGTAATCCAGAGGCAACCTGCGAAATTGAAGATTGCGGTCATTGATTTCAAGTCTCTGGCCTGCCTGTCTCAAAAGATTTTCATTTTGGAGCCGTTGTTGCAGAATATTTTTCTGCCAATAGCATTTCTTGAGCCGTTTCAGCATTGAAACCTAAAACCCAAGCAGTTTTTCATAAGTTTCTGGGCAGAATCGATTTGAAAAGCTTATTTAGTTACAAAAGTATGAATATGACAATAATAATTGTTACGGGATGATTTTTCCCGCACCAAAATAAAAGGAAATAAGCTTATTCACCTCTCTGAATAGCATACCTTCCTCAAGCCACTGTTTTCTATCCAATAGTTGTAGCCACGCTTTTCATCAAACTTTTCATTCTTCCCAGAATCATTAAATTAGAGGTTTATTAATGGAATTGATTTCCTGTTAGTAGGGTTAAAATAAATGGACAATTAATTTATTAACAAACAAAATCACAATATTTACATTAGAACAACTGATTGTCTGATTCGAGTAGATTGTCTAGATTGACAGCGCTCCAAATAGAGTCAATGACCGGTACTAACTTAATTTGAATAAGTACCATGCCCCAACTACCATCAAAATCCCCAGTACCTTCCACCTTGGAGTTTTGACAGAGGCTTTTTAAAGGACATTGCAGGGACAAGCAGAGGTCATTCAGGTCGAGGACTTTTCACGATTAAGTGTTCGGGAAAATTCCTCAGGCACATTTTGCCGATTTTCTGAGTTGTCTAGTTTTCGCTCATAGATCTAGGGTGGCTAATCCGTTATTTTAGCACCCAATCGCCTTGTGCGGATTTTTTTTTGTGAGTCGAAAAAGAGCAACGTGACCAATTGTTTGTTCCTAAAGCCCAAAGTAATTTTGGTAAGTGGTTTTTCTTATTAATCTTCTCTGTGTTTCTCTATTTCCTATGTAAAAGCATAGTTTTCTGTTAATTATACGGTTAAATTCCGAATATCGGACATACCTACCTATATTGCTCCACGCCCTGTCTCATAACGTCCATTTGTTTCAGGCCTTTATTCATCACCTTTAGAAGTTACACTTTAATCTTCAGTCTTAGACGTTACGCTTTAATCGTAACCTTTTATTCGTCACGCTTAGTCCTTAACTTGAGTAAAGAGTTAAACGTTGAGCTTAGTAGTACCTTAGTAGTACCTCCAATCTTCAGCCTCCTCTAGACCATTGGAAGCTTTAGTGACTCCTAGTTACTGAACTTCAGTGCCCAGGGCCAGTTGTTTCTTGTCGCGATCCTGATCCAGTTCCAGGCCATCGGAAACATTGGGAGATATTGATCCAATCCTTCAGGATCCCCTCTAAAGATTAGGGACTACTCAGGTTTGATAAGTGTGTTGTATTGTCTTAATATCAAACCTTACCAAAACCCCTTGTTGGAGTAAATCACCACAACAACGCAGTTCTACTACATTAAATTATCCTTCAGATTAGATGTTGTTATTTCAGTTTCAATTAATTATTACCTTTGTTATATGAAATTTACCATTCAGGTTATGTACTGTTAGGTACTTCAATTTTAAGTATTTATACCTTCTATATTATTCCATAATAATAAATTTGCCCCTCAGGCTAGGTATTGTTAATTCAACTTT